TCAGTGCGAAGGCCCTGGGCTCCATCCTCAGTACTGGGGAAAAGAAAAAGAAATAGTCACCAAAGCATGAATTTTCCAGTCATACACTAAATCTGTAGACAGTGATAAATTTACTGTGGTCAAGAAGATGAATTTGAAAATGACCCATTTCAAGAGAGGAAAATTATTCTCTATAAAAAAGAGAAACATTATGTCATGAATGGATATTTTTCCTAATACACAAAAGTAGAACTTACTGGTAGACTAGAACTACATGGTTTTTGAAATGCCTTCCAACTGTTCCTGATTTTTTATTTCACTAGAGCAGGGTAGCAGGATAGTGGGGGTTCTGACAGGAATCTATACTTGTATACGCTCATTCATATTTTGTAAAGGATGGCAGCCAATTAAATTTCATGTGTCTCTACATAACTACAGCACTTAATTCCCTGTTTCTACAAAGTCAGTTCTTTACTACTGAAATTATTACACATTTCTAGGTTTACTTTTGAAAGTAAGTCTTTTGTGAAGATTTAAATTTTCTCTGTCACACACACACACACACACACACACACACACACACCCCACAGGAAATATAAAAACATCTGTTGGATTGACTTGAAAATATCATTGGAACAAAAACATCAGTGACAATTTCAATGGTTCTTTTAGTAATAAAACCTAATTGAAGACATTTTTGTGCTTTAAATGTTATGTTAAAGATATTGAAAAAGAGAGATACTTCACTTTTTGCACATCTCAAATGCTCATTTTATAAAGAAATGAAATTTTAGTGTGCTTTGACTTTAAAATAGTGCTGGAAGAGTAACTCAGAGGAAAAGAAAAAAGAGAAGGTCCTAAGGCCATCTTGATTTAATTTAGAAACCTGAATTTAAATAGAAAACATGTAAAGACAGTTAAAAATGTGAATATGAAATACTGGCCATCTTAAACACTGAAATATATTGTAGAATAAAAATACGCATACCATGCTGCTGATATATCTTGACATTTCTTCCAGGACAGCTATATTTTTAGTACTGTGTTTTTTAAGAATCTTTTCGGTTTGTATTACTGAAGTTGACAGACACACTCATGGCCAATTTTAAATGATCAGGAATTAATATTTATTAAATATTGATAAAGACCTGGATTTAGTGGCATGTCTCCTCTATTTCAGTGATATATTAAAATAATACCCATATTATAGCAATATTATCGTTTATTCAGTATGCTTTCCTTTCTCTTTTCAATGGGTTAAACAAAATTTAAGTCATACCTTAAAAACAATTTATCCATATTATATGCAGTAAATTAATTTCATTCCTCAAAGTCATCTTTCTGAGTTACCTTGAATTTCAACTGGCAAAAGTTTTTAAGTAAGAAAAGTTAGCCTAAAACATTTGAATGCTATGTTTTAGATTTTACTTCAATGTCTATGTAACAGATATATAAACAGATGAAATAGGTTTGTGAGTTTGGAACTAGTTCTATATCCTCTCTAAAAAGGGTCTATCTTCAATTTTGACAGAAAAACTGACACTGTGATTGTAGAGTCCTGTATAGACCAACTGACCTGACTGGTTCAAGTGAATCCTAGAGAGGTGATTGGGTTGTGAGGGCCCGAAGCTCATCAAAGGCTGGAAGAAGGGCTCTTAGGAGGCAGAGCCTCGTGAAGGTTCTCAGGCCCCGACCCGTCCTCTTGGGCTCCTCCCCTGCTCTTTGTTCTCAGATACCGTGAGATGAACAGCTTTCCTTTGCCACCCTTTGACCACGTTTCTGCCTCGGAGCAGGCTAATTATAAATGGAAGCCATGGAAATCATGAGCTAAAATAAATCTCTTCTTTCAGTTATATTGTCAGGTATTTTGTCCCAGCCAGTTGGAAAGTTGTCCAGTGCAGTGTGCAAAACACGATAATATTGACCCTCAGTGAAGATCCTTCAGACTCTTCGTTTGGCCGCTTGGGTGGTCCTGATGAAGGGTCTCTTCCGTGTTGTGGTGAACTGGCCACCCTCTGCCGAGGGCACGCACCCTTACAGCTCCCGTGCTTGGGCTGGGAAATCTCACACCTCAGGAGCAGGTCCGAGCTCTGTCTCTGTGTTCTGTCCACAGTGGTTTTCTGGCTACCTCTTTTTTGTGGCTGGAGTCTGAATTTGTTCATTTAGGTTGGTCAAGGTCTGTCATAAAAGACAAAATACAAGATACAAGCTCTATTTCCTACTCTGACCCTGGGAGTCTTGAACCGCATTCTGTTTATGACTGTCTTGAGGCACTGTCCAGCTGAGACTGCAGGGTGAGAGACTGTTTGATGATACCTTCTTATGAGAAGAGCGTTTGAAAACCATCATGTTCGTTTCTAGGCTGTTTTTGTAAAAAGCCACCTCGGATCTCTTTATGATTTTCCTCTGCTTCCTGGTTGGCGTTTGAACCTGAGGTTGCTAGATAGAAAAACTATGAATACATTGAGTTTTGCAATATAAAGCATTTTCAAAGAACCTGATTTCTAGAGGAAATCAGGCAAAGACAAATTTGCCTTGTAAGGATACCTTATTCTCCAGGCACCTCTGCCTGGAAACTGGATCACTTCTGAGGAGTGATTATTTCTGCAAGTCACTAGATACAAACAGAAATCAGCATTTTTCCCATTTTCTGAGACTTTATTCAACTTAATTATTACCTAAATTTTGGGATTTTATTCATAGTAATTATTTGTTACCTTAATTTTATTTGGTCAGATAGTTACAGCAGTTTGAATTCTATCTTTGTATAATAAAATATACAATTATAAAATTGAGTTAAATAATGAGGTTAATAGCAAACCCACATTAGCAAATAAAAGCTTGCCTGGTAAATACTGGGTTGTAGCATATTTCAGGTATCTCTGTCAGGAGATGGATCAGCTTAAATATCTCAGATCAACTCCAAGTAAAAAGTTTTTATAAAAGTCAACTACTCTTACTGCTGCTAAATTTTTAATTGTACCCGAGTATACTTTTATGTATTTTTGCTAGATAATAAGATGCATTACAGAAATAATATATAATGTATAAATTTTATCTCATGACTTAGTTTTTTTTGTTTGTTTGTTTTTTGTTTTTGTTTTTTTCCGGTACCAGGAATCGAACTCACGACCTTGTGCTTGCCAGGCAGGCGCTGTGCCGCTGAGCCAAATCCCCAGCCCCTATCTCATGACTTTGAAAGCATGATTTTCAATATTTCTGATTCCCAGTCAAAGTGGGGGAATACTCATTTATGATACATCATGTGAATGAATGAGGACACTTCTCCCCACACACTCCGTGTGTGTGTGTGTGTGTGTGTGCGCGCGCGCGTGCGTTGCTTTTCTCGCTGATGTCTTTCCTAATGTCTTTTCCTTGCAGCCTGTCCTCATTGCTAGGTTTTTCCATTTTTTAAAATCAAAGTCAGCGAGCAGATTTTCCCTAGACCCTGACGTCTTACCTTTCCTGCCTCTCACTCCATCTCTCTTCCTCCTCTCTAAAGAACAAGAAAGTCACCCAGATTTGCTTTTCTCCACTTTCTCATTTCATTCGCTTATCAGTCTTTTACGGTTGGATTTCCCCACCTGCCAGTACTCTGAAATTGCTCTTCATCATAAGTTAGTAATTAGCAAACCTCCTATTTCTTGGCCTTCCTGGGGCATTTGACCTCTTTGCTCACTCAACTCCCGAAATCTCCTGTGCAATCATTTCTAAAATTTAATCCACGTTGACCCTTTGTTTATCTTATCTTTTTTACTATCTCAGTTTTTCTCACCCTCAGTTTTGATAGCTCTAGATTTTTTCGTTACCCCTCTCATTGTATATTACTTTGCTGAGGAAATTAACCTGCAAAATTCCTGTCTTCAGAGCATCTGTTGTCTGCAGCGCCGTAGTCACATGTTCCTGCTCTGCTTGGCATAGATATGCTGCCCTCGCTCATTGACGGTTGACGTTAACAACAACCTGTTTCTCTTCCCGTATTATCTTTCTCCCCATATCAGTTCCCATCAGGTATCTCTCAACTTCTAGGAACCTAAATTTCTAGGTATCATTTCAGTGCCTATGCTCTTCCCCTTTGAGTTGTCCTGAAGTTGTGTTGCTGAGCTCTTTCCCTGTCCTTGAGAGACGCCAGAGTCCGGCTGTGGTAGTACCTTGATGGAACCCACTTCTCCTTGACTGTGCTTTTACTACCGTACTTACTAGTATAACTCTTTTACAAGTGAATGGCAAGTTGAATACTAAATTCATGACTGGAGAAGTTATTTCATTAATCACTTTGTAATTTTAATTATTTCTTTACAGATTATTTTAAAATGAGCCTATCACCCTCATTCAATTTTATATGTATAAAATAATGTGTATTTTTGTAGGAGTCAAATTTACTATTCATTGTGTATTGAACATACATTGTCTATGTGATGGACACAGAAAATAGGCTAACAATACCATGAGGAGTTAAACCACTGACCCCATTCAATTCACAGTCTTGTGAAAGAGACAGTACCGTGAGCAAATATCAATACTGCGGTGTAACAAGTGCTAAACAGTGGAGTGTAGCAAAGCTACAGGAGGCTGAGAAGGACATGACTTCCGTGTAAGAGAACTGAAAAGGTATCACAGAGATTGAGTTATGTAGGGCTGGGTGGTAACGCAAGTGTAGGGGTCTGCCTGGCAGGTGGAAAAGGATGTTTAGGTACAGGAAACAGTGCCAGTAAGGAATGGTCCGCTTTATAAGAAACAGAGACCTTGGACTTTGTACACGTGGAGATTTGTTGGATGTATTTAGGCAGAAGAATCAGATGTATTCCTCATCACATTTGTAGGGCCTATTGGAAGTGGAAAAGATGTAGTCAAGCAGTTTATTAGAAGGCTGTTGCAAAAAATCTAGATGATAGGGGAATCCAAACCAAATATACAGAGAGAAAACATAAGAACTGAATAAACTTAAATTCTGAAAATAATGCCCAAACTCTCTCTGCGCACACTGTATATCTTCATTTTGTTTTTGTCTTAAACTGTAGACATGGGATGTAGAGCTGGAAAGGTCTGCAGAATCCTGGGCTGAAACGTGTTTGTGGGAGCATGGACCCGCAAGCCTGCTTCCATCCATTGGACAGAATCTGGGCGCGCACTGGGGAAGGTAGCTTATTGTGAAACGTTTGCTTCTGAAAATGTGTGTTTGAAATGAAATGCTTAATTCACCGTTGCAAATTTGCAAAGGCTATTGCCTAAGAGAGAAACAGCTAATCACAAAATAAGTAAGAAAAGCCAAATATCATGCGTACTAGAATAATTAGCAATATGTGTATATATTTTACAGTTTTTCTAAAATTAGTATATGTTTGCTATACATGCTATCTACATTTATCTTGGGAAGTTGGCACATACACATGGCACACCTTCATGGTTTATACTTCCCTCCCCACCCTCCTGTCTTCCCCAACCCCAGACGATTTGTTTTGTTTTGTTTTGTTCTTGTCTTTTTCAGACAGGGTCTCGCTGTGCAGTTCAGGCTGGCCTTGAACTCACTTTGTAACCCAGTCTGGCTTCAAAATTGGCAGCAATCCTCCTGCCTCAGCCTCTCAAGTGCTAGGATTATAGGTGTGCACCACCACACCCAGCTTTAGAGGACTTATTTTTGTTTTAAATTATTGATGTATTCATAATGTAATGAACATAAGGGTTTAAAATATATAATTTACACAAAAATGTCTTTGCAAAGCTTTGTTAACCTCTTTTGCAGTATTTGGTTTTACATTTTCTCCACGTTGTTCTCTATGGTCGTTTTCTTTTAATAGATATAGACCCCCAACATTTCATGTACAAGCGTGGTATGATGAAGTGAGAGATTTTAGCTACCCATATGAACATGAGTGCAACCCGTACTGTCCATTCAGATGTTCTGGTCCTGTGTGCACTCATTACACACAGGTATGTTTGGGGTATTTGATACTCTTTTCCTCCAAGCTGAGATAGCACAACTATGGCAGCATGAGAAGCACTGAATGTATGGCTTATATTATTTGGTATGGTTGTGTGAAAAACGCCGTTATTCATCACATGGAATAGGCTTGCAGCTTTTTATCAAAAATAATTTTACCGTGAAAAAGTTCAAACATTTACTTAAAAAAATTAATAGATATATATGGGGAGGGAACAGTTTACTATCTTCAAAATCAAAATTTTATTCCAAAGAATAAGAATATAGTTTCATTGAGCAATACCATTCAGCATTTATATGTGTGCAATACATATAGCTAAATATATATTTATACTATATGTTATAAATACATTTACAACTTACAATTTATATATTTACCACACTAAATTATATATATATATTGCACACATAGATTTATACTTAACGTTAATATTTGCTATTGAATATGTTTTAAATGTCTAATTCCAACAATGAAAGGCAGGTTCAACTAGATTCAGCCTACCAGTGATTAGTTTCTAAAATTTCTATAACCTGTTTTTAGTGAGTCTAATCTTTCTGTGTGTCCTTGCATGTGATAAGATCAAAATCAGCACTGAGCTACCGAATTACCCTTGGCACAATGAAAAGACCATGTTGTATAAAAATTTTAAATACTTAAAATTTAGGACATTTAAATATTTAACTTTTGCTTGAGTATGATGTAAAACTTTGCTCCTTTTTAGGCAAATTTCACCATAAAAGTGTTTACAGGACATATAAGTTTGTGCAAATGTAACTTTTGAATTATTCAGGAAGTTTGCTTTCCAAAACTGCTGACATTTGGTACCAGATTGACTTGTTTGTCATATAGATCTCTTTAAAATTGAATCAAGCATGACCCAGAGTCTCAGGGAAAATATGATGTTTGATATTGCCTCCTTTCATTTTGAGAGATAGATGTTAGTTTTTCAGGATCAATGTTTATCCATTTTCCTTTCGAATATGCTGTCTTACTTCACCTCCGCTTGTTACTCAGGAGTCTGTCTTTTCTCTACCGTAGGTGGTGTGGGCAACAAGTAGCAGAATAGGCTGTGCCATTAATTTGTGCCACAACATGAATATCTGGGGCCAGATATGGCCCAAGGCTGTCTACTTGGTGTGCAATTATTCCCCAAAGTGAGTAGACAAAACACTGCTTCCAGACGTACATTTTCCTGAACAGCATGACAGTACTTTAATGTTCTGACCTTTTCTCATTTTCAGTGTATACTGAGTAATGTATCGTGTTTTAATTCAGCTCTTTTCATATGGCAGGAATTGCACTTGCCTGCTCTGTACGTTAAGTCAGTGCTGAAGGGATGTGAAAATTTAAGAAATGATCTTTGTGAAGACGGGAATCCTATTATGTCTCTAGTTTTACACATTGAACTATTCTATTCCATAAATATTCAGTAATTTTGATTAGAGATTGCCAAGTAAAGATAATTGGGGAATTTATTTGCATCTATGCCTAGACTATTTGAATGATTACACTAAAAATTTTAGACCAAGTCTTAGAGTCAAATTTAAATTTATGGTCTGGATGTACTAAAACATGAAATACAGCTGTACAGCCCATATAGAATTTAGTGTTCTGTAAAAGTTAGATTTTAAAATTTTTAATAGTACACATAGCAAATTACTTCAAAAGCTTGAAAAGAATGAGACAGTAATTTTTATGCAAACCTAGTAACCAAAAGGACTCTATACCAAAATACATCTGTGTCCTAAATTGAATACACAGAGATCATTATCTAGAGGATTCATCAGTATTTTGTGATGTTTTATAAATCATGCTGTTACCCTACCTCTGACTGGAGCGCATCCTCTCTTTCAGGGGAAACTGGTGGGGCCATGCCCCTTACAAGCATGGGCGACCCTGTTCTGCTTGCCCCCCTAGTTTTGGAGGGGGCTGTAGAGAAAATCTGTGTTACAAAGGTAAGTGCTATTTTTTTTTTTTTTGCAATATTCACTTTAGTTTATATTTTTATTCAACTCTGCATTAACTTGTGTTAAAGGAAAAATTCAAACATCTGCTGATGGTGTGACTCAGGGCTACAGTCTTGCTTAGCATATACAAGGCCCTGGGTTCTATCCTCAGCAACATACACTCACAAAAAATCTAAAAGTGTGCTTTATTACTACATGAAAAATTTGCACAACTCTATTTCAAGTATTTTGAGGATGCTACTTAAATACATGTAATTTCACATTTATTTTATAATTTTTAATATTAGTAAGTGAATTATATCAGTGTATACTGAAAGGGGAATTACATGATTTTATCAGATAACCACTTTTAATTCTATGTTGAAGTTACTCCAGAATGATAATACATATCTTAAAGGCCACTGTTTTATATTGACTAGAAGTATTTCCATAACTGTCATAATTTTTAAGGATTTAGCTGTTGAACACAATTCATTTTTAGCACTTGGAACATTTTTACAAAAATCCCTCCCCATGTATATTACTGACCAATCCTGTTTGATGAATTATATTGATATCTACCTCTTGCTGAAGACTGGATAATTTCTCATGCCAAGATAACAAAAAAAGTATCATAAAACTGTTACAAAGTTAGTGCACTCAAATGCATTTGAAATCTTAAAAGTAAGTATAAATATGGTGTCACTTTTATAGTGGTGTCACTTTTATAGTACATGAAGAGAAAGTGTATATGACAAAGCTTTGTGAAAATTCATGCTCTGGCTATTCAAAAGGACATTTATTACTGTCTTGTTCCTTTTTCTTATTGATGATTACATGAAGATCTATGTAGATTAAGTTATTGAAAAATCTGAATACATACAGAAATTTTTTAGTCCTCATAAAAAGTTGTGTCTTGTTTTCCTTTAATGACTGAATGCTTATTGGTTGTAATGAACAGACAAGAAATACTCATTTATGTCACTGCATTGTATACGTCATTTTAAAATTCCTGGAAGTATCTTTTCAGTGTGTGTGTGTGTGTGTGTGTGTGTGTGTGTTTGTGTGTGTGTTTATTCTCTGCCCCTAAATCCACAACTTTCCTGCCTCATCACTGACCACTCTGTTTTTTCCTTGGATTTCATAATCCCTTTTTTCTAGTTGGTAAATTCACCATGTGAAAATAATGGCACATCTCCAGAATGTGTCATTTATGAGTCTTCCCTTGATATAGGCCAGTTTGGGGAGAAAAATTAAATTCAAACTTGAAACTGTTATCTATTGTCAAGTTTAAAGTCTTGCACCTTGAAATATTTTCTAAAAGAGAAAAAGATCTTTCTGTAGAAATGGCTGCCTTAGGAAATAACGAAGGCATGTCGATCCTTCTTAATGCCCCATTTCCACTTGGGAGAATTCAAAATGTGATCCTTCTGAAAATACTAAGAATGTGACTCCACTTGGGAAAAGAAATTCAAATTTCCCTAAGCCTCAAATGTAATAGATTGCTGTGTAGATTTCTTGGTGTCATTTTGAAAACCAAACACCGACTACATGTTGAAATATAAGCAGAGTTGAGAAGTGACTCCACTGATGATTAGCCAGGTGCTAAATAAATGAATCAAAGGCTGACGTGTGGACTTCATCTGCTTCAGCGCAGTGACCTGAAGCCAAAACCTCTGCCTATGAAAGTCTTGATTTTCTAGTTTCAAATATTAGACAGGTTTTGTTATTTAATAATCTGTGCCCTTGTGAAATGGGATTCATATTACTTACATTCACTGTCTGTAACAGAGGGGTCAGACAGATATTACCCTCCTCGAGAAGAAGAAACAAATGAGATTGAACGTCAGCAGGCGCATGTTCGTGATTCCCACGTTCGAACAAGATCAGATGATACCGATAGAAATGAAGTCATAAGCACACAACAAATGTGTAAGACCTCCAGATTATTTATAAAAATTTTACAATTTTATATAGATGCATAGCCACCTATATTTTATGTATTTGGATGATTTTTACAATGAGAAAAATGAAACTTGTCATTACATTATGTATAATGAATTATAGAAACTTCCACATTATCAAAATTATTTCTTGTCTTGTTTTTAACCTTTAGCCCAAATTGTTTCTTGTGAAGTAAGGTTACGAGACCAGTGCAAAGGGACAACCTGCAATAGGTAATAGAAACTAGTATTCTGAGAATCAAATGACAAAACAGAAGCATTTTCACTTTATGTAGATGTGTAGAAAAACTAAATTTTATTCTCTGTCGCTTTCCTCTAGATATGAATGCCCTGCTGGCTGTTTGGATAGTAAAGCCAAAGTAATTGGCAGTGTACATTATGAAATGGTAAGTATAAAAGTGTACTTATTTAGGAATAGAACCCTTCTAGATACATTTATAACAGTGTACATGAAGTGTGGATATTTTTCTCAGAAATGCTTACGTAACTGAAGGTCACCGTATCTTAGAGCTCGGGTGTTTTAACGTCTTGTGTTTCTTCCTGTCCTTCAAGCAATCCAGCATCTGTAGAGCTGCGATTCATTACGGTATAATAGACAATGAAGGTGGCTGGGTGGATATCACTAGACAAGGAAGAAAACAGTATTTCATCAAATCCAACAGAAACGGTGTGCAAACCATCGGGTAAGTACTGAAATGACCATTTGCGCAGCATGATTTTACATTGTTACACTGAGCTCTCACATGGTTATAGAACAAAGCATAGAAGAATTTAAGAGAAAATTTCAGAGAGGTTGGTAATTTTCAAGGTTCATGGTAGTTACATGAGTTCTGTAGACAAAAAGAAGAAACAATAATCTAAAAGTTGAACACATGCTTATAAAGGGGCAGGCTACAACTCTGAACTTTCAAGAGTTTAAGAGTATACAAAGTTGTAGTTAATTCTTGATGCAAAGTAGTAAATTCTTCATCTCTGATAAACTATATGCTACAGGAGGCGAATTATCAAGTGCACTGTCTCTGCCCTGTTTATTAATAATATAAAGTAGCCGGGCGTGGTAGCTCACACCTGTAGTCCTAGCACTCAGGAGACTGTGGCAGGAAGATTCCTGTGAGTTCGAGGCCAGTCTGGGCTACAGAGTGAGACCCTGTCTCAAAACAAACAACCAAACAAACAAAAAGATAAAGTAGATTATTAGATAAAAGAGTTTTGAACAGTTTTGTAAATAGGTAATATACTGTGTTTGTCTTTTGCCCATTCAAATGCAATCTAGCGAGGGGGCTGGGGATTTAGCTCAGCGGCAAAGCGCCTGCCTGGCAAGCGCAAGGTCGTGAGTTCGGTTCCCGGTACCGGAGAAAAACCAAAAAAAAAAAAAAAAAAAAAAAAAAAAAAAAAAAAAATGCAATCTAGCGAAACATAAAAAGCATTAACTTTTAAGTGTTTCTCATATTAAGTACATGAAATGCCTTATTTTAAAACATAAAGTGGAAAAATGCAGGCTTCTGAATTATCTTTATGTAGTATCTTTTTCTTATAAGTAAAATGAACATTACTCAATTTCTCAATTTCTTGAGAAATATGAATCTTTTTTCTTTTATAACTGTCCAGTTGCATGAAGCTCCACAGTTGGTTTAAGTTGGAATTTATAATTATAAAACTGAATTTATTAAAAACCTTTGCAAATTTCTTGAGTGACCTATGCATACAATTTTTTCAAAGGCTTGATGAATGGTTTTTATCCATTAGCAATACCTTCTAGTAATATATTCATAGATATATTTATTAGGTTATTCATTCAGCAAGTATTTATTACTACAATTAATAAAAAATAACTATTAGTTATTAACTTTGATAAGCCACATACTTAGTGTTGTCTTAAACAGCATTGAGTCTATTTACTTTTTTCTCTTAAATTTTTATTATCTCATAGAAATTCTCTTAAAATATGAAGTGTGCTACATTTAGTAGGTTATACATTTGTGTCTCAAACAATGTTATTTGGGGTGTTCAAGTAACAGATGATGAATACTAGCCATTGAATTTGAAAGTGACAGAAAGAAAAGATTTTGAGATTTTATACCATCAGTGTTGACCTAATATATTCAGAGAGTGTACTATGATAAAATACCATCAACAAATAAACCTTAGGTTTGCAATAGATATTTTCCCTCAAAATTTGAGTATATATGAACTAATTAAAATTTTGATAATAATGGCATACCTAATCTTATATTACTGTTTTTAATAATGAAATGTGCTGAGGAAAGTTTGATTCATTTACTATAAACATTTTCCTAGATACTAGGGTGACTGAAAAATAATACACACTCCTTTAAAGGTACTTACTATGTTATAGTCTTTCTACAAGAATGCCTTTTATTTACTGTTGTGAAGAATTAAATAGGTTGGTTCTGTGGAGACAGGTAATTAGTATTTTGAGATTTTAATTTTGAGAAGAAACAAATATGAAGGTGTGTGCATTACTATAAATGTTGAGATTGGTAATAAAAAAAACTACTTTCTAATGTTAAGAGTGATATTGATTTGGTTCAGAAGTGAATAGAGACTTAGACCCAAACAGACACCATATGCTTATGTAGCTATTTTAATATTTACTTTTTAAAGCTAATTTCATATTTTAATAAATATTTACTAATTTTTTGTAATATTTTAATATTTACAAAAATATTTATTGTGACTATAATGCCCACAAGGTAATGACTGACATTTCTAATTTTTATCTTCAGCAAATACCAGTCTGCCAATTCCTTCACAGTCTCCAAAGTGACAGGTTCGTGCTTTGAAAATCTTAATTTCTTACTCCTGTGCAGTGCAGTTTTGGTTCTAAGGATTCACTTACTGCTTTTTGCTTTAATTTTTCAGTTCAGGCTGTCACTTGTGAAACTACTGTGGAACAGCTCTGTCCATTTCATAAGCCTGCTTCACACTGTCCAAGGTACTATTTTCTAAATTTTCTCATTTAAAAAATTAATGAATAGATATAAATGTAAATGATGTAGAGCCCATCAAAAAACGTACACACACTTCATCAGTCTGCCGTACTGAGGTCTGGGAGCTGACGCTCACCACTTTGGGCACCTCTTGCATTGTGAAGATAAAAGTAACTTGTGTTAATCTCATGGCATCTCAATAAATTTAGCATTCAAAGATTTATACAAGTTTTTCTTTTCCTGGCATGTACATTTTTGGCAAAGTCTGTATTTGCATATACACACGTATGTACATACATGTGGCTTTGTTCTTGTGCCTGTTTGTACCTGAGATTCTGTTACTTCTTGTGTTCAGAGTTGTATATGATCTTGAGCTGTTGATGAGGAAGTAGTGGGAGTTCATACACTACACGCACTGCGGACGCTTCTGGTGTACCTTCTCCAAATGCGAAGTCCTTCCTATTCTTCAATAGTAGCAGGGCTTATGTGTACAATGTGTGTGTCCGTGTGTGCTGCAAGGAGATCGGTCCTAGTCTGTTTGGGCTGCTATAGCAAAGCTTAACAGACTGGTTGGCATAAATAGCACGAATGAGTCCTTCCAGTTGTAGAAGTGGGGAAGACGCCAGCTCGTCTGGCTCCTGATGGGGACTCTCTCTGCAGCTTGTGGAGAGCCACCTTATTTTTGTGTCATCACGCGGTGGCAGGAGAAAGGGTTTACTCCTTTGCATCTGTTCTTATAAGTACACTGATCTTACTGGGTAAGGGCTGTCCTCTCATCACCTCGTTTAACCTTAATTACCTCCAGAAAGGATTTGTCTCTAGAAATCGTCACATTGGGGTTGGGACTTCAACATAGGGATTTTGGGTGGGTAAAAGTATTCATTCCATAGTTTGCATAGCAAGTTCTTCCAGTAGAAACTAAAAATGACAGAATTATTATTTTTTGTTGTTGTTGTTTCTTTTGAGACAGGGTCTTGCTCTATAATTCAAGCTTTTGATTCTCAGTACCAAAAATAAATAAATAAAGTATAATTCAGCTGGCCCTGACCACTATGTAGTGCAGGCTGGCCTCAAACCTGTGACAGTTCTTTTGCCTCAGCCTTATGAGTGCTGGGATTACAGCCTGTGCTACCATGCCTGGCTCGTGACAAAGTTAGTTTTTTTTTATCCAATTCTTAAATTAATCAAATTGGAATTTATGAAGAAATTGATGAAAAAATGGTCATCTCTGCATTTATTTCATTTTTGTATACACTTTTAAAAAGAATTACAATAGAGTTTATCTACTGTAAAATAATTTTTAAAACGTTTTCTCTTGGGGAAGCTAAGATGAGAACTGTTAAAAACGTTATGGGCATAAGCCACAATCAATACACAGGAAAAATGAGGTGTGTCCCCACCTATCCGGTCTTAAAAGGATCCACACTACTTCTGTTAACTTAGTACCCACTCTTCTTCCAAAAACCAGTAATGAGTGTTAGAGATATAATTGTATTTTGAAAAGCTATCTTTGTTAAAAAATTTAAAGAGCCTAATTTTTATGTCAAGGTTTATTTACTTTGGAAAAACTTCATTACTCACCCTCTTACGAGTAAGGCAATGCTTCACTTGCAGAATGGGATCGGTTGTTCACAAGGTAACAAGGACTGTGACGTTGATATAAGGAATAAGTGCTTCTCTCTCTGGACGGGGAGCTTCTCAGTTACCCATGGGGTATCAACCGTCAGCTCCTTCACATACAAATAGCTAACTTGTTTCCACTTAAAAACAAATATTTGTCTCCAATAAAAGAATACTATGGTAATGTTTTTGTTCAGCTAACTTGCTGATCTGAGACTTTCTGAATTCTTCACCTGTGTGTTTACTGAAATCATCTCACAAAGTGTGTAGTTTGAGAACCCCTTGCTACATGAAATGCATCACATACTTTTCCCGTTTTACCCCCAGTGAATTATCCATCAGACATTTTACTTACGGATCTGCAATCTGCTAGCAGAGTTTTTGCAGCTCTGCTGTTAGGCAGGCCCACAGCTTGGGTTAAATCACGGTTTGTTTTGTGATTCTAGAATATTCTGTAGAATTTCTTTTTCAGATTTTCCGTACTCCTGTTCTCACAGATTGTATTTCAACAGAGAGACATATTGCTAGGTAAATTTTAGTACTGTGATACATACAAAAAGCATGAATTGTAGAATTTCATATTTATAAATATTAAATATTTGTTACATACTATACCAGCCAAATCTGTATTTGTTCTCAAATGTGTATCTGTATTTGTTCTCAAATGCAGATTCTTGAGGAACAAGTAATAAAGATAATTCCTGTGGAGCATTCTGTCACAAACCTTTCTCTTGTAAATGCTCAATAAGTGGTTATTCTATCCCCATGAGTGTTGTTCTAAAAGAGGAAAATTATTAAATAAAATATTAATGAAGAAGTTTCCCATTTCTTGGCTTCAGAAAGGGAAACATCCCCAGAAGGAAAATTATATGAATCTTTAAAGTTTAATTTTATTTTTCATTGTCACTGATACAACAAATTTATAGAAGATTTGTACATAATGTTGATCTTAAGTATGTAGAAAGCCTCTCACTCTTAAAGTAGTAAGTTTTTCTTTATTTTAGAGGCTACTGAAACCAAGATTATCTTTTTCTCATGAAATTTTTCATAGTTGGCATTACCTATGTGATAGTTTATAACTTTTAGGGAACCAAACAGTTGGGGCATCATTCTTAGAATTTCATGTCATGTGAAGAGCTGGAGACCTAGTCTGTTCTGGAGAAGTGTGGCAGCTGAAAAGCAGATAGCCCTACGAGAACGTGAAGAAGCAAGATTTACCTAGCCATATTCCTGAGAGTCTCCACAGCTGGTGGGAAAACCCAAAACGAGCTGTTATTTAGTACCGTAACCCTGTATAAATTGTTCAGATGTCTTATCCTGCTTTACATATATTTATGAATAGTGAAGTCTTTAAAATCCATTGAATCTTCTCAATGTAAAAATAGATGTCATTAAAATGTGTCCCCATTTTTATTCAAAGCTTACAGGCAAAATGTAAAGAAATGTTTACTAGGTCACTACCTACCTTCTCAGTACTATGTAACATGGTATGTAAAAAAGATTAGACAAAATTAGATGAAACTTCCTTCCCTCAGTCTTTCTTTTACCTGAGCTTTGTAAGTAGAGACTAACTCACCCTGGAGCTGCTGACCTTGGCCTCCCTCAAGTCAAGAGCCAGACAAGCAAGGCAGGGTTTGCGCAGCATGATCCTAAGGCCAGAGCAACTGGCTTTACAACCAGAGGATGAGTAGTTCTCAAAACAGTGAGATCATTTTCCAGTCAATGGGAGCACCCTTCTTGCACAAACCTCAGCCAGTTTCTCGTGATAGTCAGCACTTTAATTCAGTTACAAAAACTTCTTACTTACATCTAAATAGATTTGGTTTACATATTTTATTAAAACATATGTAGTCCATAGAGGATAGTACATATTTTAGTTTTTTTTTTTTGTCTTTTTTGAGACAGGGTCTCCCTGTGCAGTTCAGGAAGGCCTTGAGCTCACTTTGTAACCCAGGCTGGTTTTGAATTCACAACGATTCTCCTGCCTCAGCCTCCTGAGTGGTGGGATTACAGGTGTGCACCACCACGCCTGGCTATGGATCGTACACATTGTAAATAAGATCTTTAGCCATCCTAAACAACATCTGTTTCAAATGGCACACATAGTTTTAGTTGAGTATTTTTGGAATACTCTTAGAAAAATCATTGCTATCATCATCTACCAGTGATTTTCACATAGTTAACATTCTCATTTACCGTGTATAATGAATTTTTTTTTTCCAGTTTTAGTGTATATCTTTTTTTAGTGCATAAATGTGTATGTGCGTGTGGGGGGGCGGGGAGGGAATGAATTGAAAGACGATGTGAAAATTGTGTACCACTCGACAGTGTCTTGAACTCTGGGAGTGATCAACCAGTAATAATTGGACGGCATGTTTAAATCATGTAGCTTTTTGAGATTATTTTTAGATGACTAAAACTAATCAGATTTCAGTTAAAGCAGCCAGATGTCTAAAGGACAAGCATTCCATACAGAGAGGAAGGTGAGCGCGGATACCCCGAAACAGAGCCTGTTGTGTGGTTTGGGGCGCAGCCGCGAGGCCGGTGTGACCCTGCAGGACAGGAGAGTGGCCGGGCAGTTGTACTGGGGCAGAGGGGATGACGGATGCTGTTCTAAGGCAGTTTTCACCCTAAGGATCTTCTCGTTTATTCTGAGCGAGCTGGAAAGCTCCTGCAGTATTTGGAACAGAGGGACGGCAGGTTTGGACTTGGATGCTTTAACTGTGTGGACATAAACTGGAGAGGGCCAAGTCAGAATCAAGCAGAGGTCGTAGGAGAGCCTGTTGCAGTAAGTCAGATGGTATATGATACCGTCCATGGTTACCGTGGTCACGGTGCTCGTCACACTTTAACCTTGGGCGCATTTTAGTGTACAGCACGTACAAATTGCTCCTGGTTTGGATGAAAGGTGTGAGACCCAGAGAAGGTGCAAAGGTGGAATAAGGATTTTATGCTGAGGTGCCAGTAACAGTGGAGTTGTCATGTACCGTGACAGGAGGCTTACAGAAGGCACGGATTTGGGGACTCTACGGGGTTAAGAATTTTATTTCACCCCAGATCAACTTGAGATACATACTGGCTGCACGTGGAGGTGCTGAGTAAGCGGCACAATACGCAGATTTAGAATAAGAGAAGAACTGGAAATCAGCTATTTAGAAGTGATAATTAAAGCCAGGAACTGAGTGAGGTAACAAGATGTGGATTTACGGAAATTAGGAGACTTCACGAGACAGTGACTCAGGCTCTCCAAGTCATCTGTTTTCTCAGTTTCGTAGACCCGTTGAGTACAAATGCTCAGATGCAGAGATGAGTCCTGACTTTTGCATGCTTTGTGCCTCCAAGTTAGAAGGCTTCCTGCCTAAATTTTTAAAAATCACATGAATGGTAAAACCTGGAAGTAGGTGAAAAGAAGCAATGGTGCCAAGTTAATTCTATATTTGAATTATTGTTTCATTAATGAGTGAAGTAACCAGCTTTCTTTCTATTTTTATATATTATATATATATATATTCTTTTTTTCAGAGTGTATTGTCCTCGTAACTGTATGCAGGCGAATCCACATTATGCCCGTGTAATTGGATCTCGGGTGTATTCTGATGTAAGTATCCTAATTGCTGCAGCGCTCAGTATTCGTGTATCTATAAGAATGTATATATGTATGTATATATCTGCCTGTGCACACAGAGGGAGGGAATAGTTTCTGTACAGATACACATGCTCTCAGATTTGCACTGTGCAGATATGAATGTATGATCATGTACTTTGACTAAATTTTTCTTCATATCTCCCCCATATCTTATGCGAGACACTTAAATATTCTCAAAGCATTCTTGGAAAGGAAAATACATTTTGTCTTTAATTAGTCTTCCTTTGGTTCCCAAGTTTCTGAAGTAGGAACTAGACAATTCAGATTTTGTCAAATGTATAAGCAGTATTTCAGTTCCAAAGGGCATTTGGAAAATGGTATAGTACCAAAAATAGATAACCCTTTAAAACAAACAGAGGGGTATATTTTGAAGGGGATGAAAATGTCCACCCGTCTTTTACTATAGTATTTTAAAAATGTAAACATTCACTGTATTATTTTTTAATCATACATCGTGCATCAGGGAACTGGTCCCGGCGTGTGGTACTCTATGCTGTGATGGGGTTGGGTGTGGAGTGTCGCTTGTGATGGCTTCAGTAGGGGTCAGTGCGTTCTGAGCCAGGTTTTAAGTGTTGCTGATAAGAGGAGTAGGGAACACATTCTCGGGAGGACATGGACATCTACAAAGACCTTGGGGTGAGAGTGAGTGTGCTTCATGGGGCATAACAGACAGCTTTGGCCGTCCCTGCGCCACTGAGAGCTGGAGCTGGAAGGGGCAGTAGTCAGATTCATGAGAGGAGGGGGTGCGCTCTTGAAACATGCAGCTGAGGACTGAAGGTGCATTGAGAAACCGTTACAGATTTCCACGAGAGTCACAGAAACAGGAATTCTCCCTTGATGCAGGTGTCCCACTGAATACCAGGGGAATTCGTTTAAAGAGGCCTGAGACAAGCATACTACATCTTACGTCTCTCGACAAATTCATTCAGGTCTAAGATTTCTGCTTTCCAATTCAGCTTCCCCTTTGAAATCATTCTCTCATGTCGTTTCTCTCGTGCTCCAGTCTTGTGTTATTTTTTATCTGAAGCTTACATACACTGCAGGTACCTTGGTTTTGCTTTTGTGCTTGTATTCCTTTTCTGAAATACATACTTTTAAAACTTTTCTGTTAAAATTGTGGCTGATCTTTTACATGCTACATTATTGCCATTTTCTCTGAGTTGTACTACTGGCTTTCCTAAGCCAAGTGTGAAGTCTGTCTTCTTCCAACTCCTAATGTTTTTTTCCTTTTAGCACTTAGACATATGAAGCAGCATGATTGCTACTACCTGCTGTCTTTCGTTACTTTGTAAGGTGTTTGAAGGCAGCCGCTGGGCAATTCATTCATTTATTTCATCACTTGATTTGATGTCTGGCAAGTTATGAATAACGTGGGTTCGTTCTTGCCTTAACAGAATTTAGAGCACACAGTGAGTGATATCAGATACTAAGCAAGCACTTTACACATAAATATTTGTTGAAAAGAATAAATTAAGAAATGTTCAGGAATGGGCATATCTGGTTTCCAAAGAAATCATTCTCTCCGTGTTTTCCTTTTATGCACAAGAACTTTTAATTTGAGTGATTTCAGATACAAAAGGTCCTGAAGTTATGGTTTGGTTAGAATCTATTTTGTGAGTGCACTTTATCTTGCTGCCTCAATGAAATGGGTAGGTAATATGTATTATGTAGGTCCTTCGAAGAGAAAATTGGAGATATAAAGATTATTAAAACATGGTGGGCAGGCGTGGTGGCGCATGCTGGTAATCCCAGCACGAGGGAGGCTGAGGCAGGAGGGTCGTTGCGAGTGCAAGACCAGCCTGGGCTACAAAGTGAGCTCAAGGCCAGCCTGAACTGCATAGTGAGACCCTGTCTCAAAAAGGGAAAAAAAAAAAAAAAGATATGGTAAGGGCAGAGTAAGAGATTAAACCATTAATTTTCAGCTCCTACAAAATACCTTATCTCTTCAAGCAAGGTTGATATAGAAAGGATGAGAATGAAGCAGCTTCTCTTCCTTCCTGTTTTTCTTCCTTTTCCCCTTCTTTTTCTTTCCAGTTATAGAGTTAGAACTTGTACATTCTACTGCTTTAAAACTTCCATTTTTAGTTTATTATACATTCTTAACTTCTGCATTCCTTAAAAAATTCCACTGGATTTATAGGCAAAATCTATTTTCTCTTCAAAAATATACATTATTATAAAGTATGAATATGAGAAAAAAGTTCTAAACTTTGAACTTAGTAGGAATGCCTGCTGACTACATAATTGTAAGAAAAAAATACTCTCAAAACGTAGTAAGAGGTTGGGTTTAGTGAATGCTATATCTGAGCACTTTCGTTGGCTTGTGGGGAAAATGCTGATAATACCCTTTCAGCAGAAGAGGATAAATGCTGAAATGTTCCAGTATCATTTTAATTCCGTTTGTTATGCATTCCATACAGTTATGAAGTCAGTGCCGTGTTTAAGATGATGAGTAGAATGCCGTGTCAGAGAAGGACACAGGTTTTAGATACGTGGTGTTTTGTGATAGACCAAAAGCCTGAGAAGGATTCAGCAGCTTGGCCTTCAGGCTCTCTGCACTAATAAATACTGACTGATGCCTCAGAGTTCAGAGCACAGCAATAAAGCAAGGTCATGTAAGATACACACGCTTATGTGAACTTAAAAAAGCACATTAAATCACTGCATGTGCACAGAGAGAAGAAGACACCAGCGGCACTGGAGAGGACCCGGGGGGCTCTGAGGAGGATTGCCGCATACTGGAACGTTTCAAGCATTTCCTGTTGTGGGATTTTCTCGGGCTGAACTCGGCTATCCACAAGCTTTGGTAGAACATTTGGATTAAAGCCAAAGTTAAAAAATAGACAATAGTTTCGTGCTCTGAAAGAAATTATTTTAGAAGTTAGTACTTTTAAAAATTTGAAATTACTGGACCTGAAGCGATAATTTTCTCCTCCATAGAAAGCTTTTCCCATCCAGCTTATATAACCGATGGACTATAAACACAGACTCTTCCTAGCACTGTTGTCAGAACCTTCAAACCTGGGTGGCAAGCTTGGCAACTCTAGGTGGAAGATACGACTATTTTCTATATTCTCCTTCTTGGGATTGTTCTTTCAGGCAAATATCTGCAATAGATTATATTATTTAATAGGGATAAAACTTACCTCTTAATATATACCTATATTTTAGCAAAGGGACTGTTATATGCAGAATTGTGGTTAAGTTGCGTATGACTCAAAACTAAACATAAATGAATAAAAATGAACGTACATGAACAGATCATCCGGCTTGTATTTGGTTAGACTGATTCAATATACCCAAGCAGAGGCTAAAATTAGAATGATGGGCCCTTGAAGAGTTAATAAGAGCTAGTTTGCTCTTTAGTGCTGTGACTGGTAAAGCTTGCTGTTTGGGTAGACAAATGTTGGCTGGATTAAGTGGGGAGGAATCTTGCCTTGGAAGCCATCCATCACACTTGCCTTCAGACTTGCTCACACTGGCTTGGACACTGTGACTTTTGAAACATTCCTTTATGTGGAGTATCATCCAGTAGCTGCTTACTGACCAGATAGGAATCAGGGAGTTCAGCCCTGCAGAAGCGTGGATCGGGTAAGTTCAGGAGGTGTTTCCTAGTAACAGCCGTTTCTTCGCTTGCCTCTTCAGCTGTCCAGTATCTGCAGGGCAGCAGTCCATGCTGGGGTCATTCGAAATCATGGGGGCTACGTGGACGTTATGCCTGTGGACAAGAGGAAGACTTATGTGGCTTCTTTTCAGAATGGAATCTTCTCAGAAAGGTAAAAATAAAGCAAATTATATGTACTTCTGGTATGCCATCTGTCTTACTGTTTATGGCTGTTGTACAAGGATCCACTTGAGGCTGGGCTGGAGGCTGTGTGCTAAACTGGTGCATTCCCTTGCATGCTTATTTTATAGCCAGTCTTCCAGAGATGAGAGACGCTGCAGTGCCAGAGGGACCTGTCTCCTGCGGGCTTATAAAGTCCAACATAAAAACCAGATTATGAGTCAGAGCCATTCTTTTGTTAATTGATCTTATAATTAGGAGATTTCTTTGATCCTCTTTTGGATTTTCTAGATTTTTTTTTTTTTTTTTGTATTTCATTCTTTTAGGTAAGTAAGGCACTGAGTATTTCTCTAATCCAGTTATCTGGCAAAGTATTTGACAAAAACAGTAAGCCTGATTTTCCCTAGAATCAAACTCTCTTTGATTGAAAGTTGGATGCCTAGTGTGATATACATAAAGTCTTTTAGGTCATCTCATGCTGTATTACCCATTGAATGTTACATGTTTTTCAGTAATTGGAGAAAATTGATGTGACTCACTTTATCAAGTATTAGTAAACATTATGAGAAATGAGTCTTTAATGATTTTTTAAATTAGTGGCACTATAGAAATAATATTAAGTTCCATTTATTTACATAGACACAGAAAAAATCCCTCTTACATATTTGCTGAATCCTTCAAAATTGCCAATGAAAGATTCAAATATATAGTAGTTTCTCTAAAGAACGACGTGGGGGAGGGATGTGCCGTGCTGGTTATCTGTCTTCACTGTTTGTGTGTCATCCTCATAAAGAGACAGAGCTGTATTTAGCATCTGTTTTCAGGTAAGATTACATCAAGAAACCACCGCTGAGGAGGTGACTTCCCTCTAACCTAGCTTCTGGCCTTGCTGTGCTGATAGGTCATATAAAGTAGCTTCTCAAGTTATGGAATCCCATATGCTCTTTTATAATCTCTTCTGAGTGATGAGAGTTTATTTACTTCTCATACTTCTTAAGCTTATTTTAAAACTACAAAATAGTAGCCAATATTGTAATAAAACTGATAATAATAATTATTTTTGAGTAGCTGCTATGAACATTGCAGACATTAGACTCTACTGAACTCTTGTATATTTACTAGCTCAGTTCCACTTACAACTCTAGAATTTTGATTCTGTACGCCTTAATTTGTATATGTCTTAACTGAGAGTTAAATTAATTAAATAACTGATATACCTAAGGTCATGTAACTGAATCTTTTTTTTTTCTGGTACCGGGAATTGAACTCACAACCTTGCACCTGCCAGGCAGGCCGTGTGCCACTGAGCTTAAATCCCCAGCCCCATGTAACTGAATCTTGAAACTCAGGTTCAGCACTAGATCTATGTGCTTAAAAATACACATTTTCCCAGCATATCACTGTGGACAAATAAGAAACACCAAACACCTCCACCTCTTAGGCCGCTTGGTCTATAAATATAAATAAATTCATATGGCTTTAGATTGGTCATCTGCTTGTATGAGAAACCTGGTGTGTGTGTGTGGGGGGGTGTATGTTTTTTTGTGTGTGTATTGTAATGATCTTATATTTTTCTTACTCTAAAATTATCTCATTTGAATAAATATGTAAGAGGAACTATCTGTTATCTTAACACTTACTGTGTTTATTTTTAAGTATTTTTTAATTATTAAGAAAATTAACTTTATGCAAAAAATGTAAAAACTTCAAAAGCTTGTGCAGTTGATGAAATTGAATAATGATTAACCTGTTGCCAACCTGCTTTAACTTCTAGACATTAAACATAACTTGATTGAGGTTGCCAAATACAAAATAAACAATAAAATGTAAAATATACAGTTCTACATTACTTTTACATTTAGTTTTAAGAGTGCCACCAGGAATGAGATAGTGTTCCGTGCGTGTGTGTGGATTTTTCCATTTTAGTGAAGAAGGTGCTATGTCCTTTCTTATTTGACTGTTACATTTCCTCAGTAACATTTTTTTCTTGAAACTATAAATGTTAAGAAGCATTAATCTGTATGATGGCAATATAATTTAATTTTTTTCAGACTTAGGTAAAGATAATAAGCATTTCCTATAGCATTTCTCAGATATCAGTGACTTTCTGAAGTCATAGTTAACTTTTAACTATCCAAATCACTTGTAAACTTGAATCTCAGTGTCCCTCAATGAAGTGGGATAACAGCTGCCTAACTGCTTTATTAAATTGAAAAGTAGTGCATTATCTAGAATCTGTGAAGTTCTATCGAGGTTCCTATTTTTCTCATAATCTTAAATTTATTTAGTAAGCTAGTTCAGCAGACAGCCAAAGCTTAAAGGATTATGTCGTCCTTGAGGTTTCCAGGAACTGTAAATTGCAGTAGTCTGAGAACATTGACCATCTGGATTCATACAGCTGCTTTCCTGACTGCCATAGGGTGTTATGATTTATTAGAAGGCTTATACGTGGAGGTGACATCAATGTTTTTGTATTTTTTGCAGTTTACAGAATCCTCCAGGCGGAAAGGCATTCAGAGTGTTTGCTGTTGTGTGAAGTGGAACCCTTGGATGGGGGTCACAGGGACTATTCCAAATGCCACGGTTCTGAAGTTTGTATAAAACTGTAACATTACTGTACAGAAGATAGAAACTATTTTCAGTGCTCCCCCCTCCCAGTGCCAGATGCATATAAATCCTGATAGACAAAGTCTATAAGATGAAACATGGGACTTTAGCTTTGGGAAAAAGAATGAATATGTAATGGTTTTAGAAATCCTGTGTTAAATATTGCTATATTTTCTTAGCAGTTATTTCTACAGTTAATTACATAGTCATGATGGTTCTACATTTCATATATTTTATTACATGGTGCTTTGTATATGCCACTAATAAAATGAATCTAAATATTGAATGTGAATGGCCTTCAAAAATTACCTGGTGCATTTTAAAACAATGGACTCTAAAACTGAAAGAAACCTTTTTATCATACCTTCCCCAGTCCAAAGCTATGTTGTTACCTAGTCTAAATCTCAAGCTGTTTTTCACTTAGTACTTGCACAGTTTTTTCCTCTAAGTTTAGGTATATAGAATATTAAATCTTGATACTCCATTTGTTATTTTGTATAAAATAATCCTTTAGTATCCAAATGAAACTTTTAACATGTTTAATTTTTCAGGAATGGAATTAAGACAAACTATGGCATGAAGACACTCTTAGTGCTCATGTAATAAATACTGAGTTGAGCACAAGCAGCCAGAGCTTTCGATGTATTGTTAAACTGGAGGTCACACATTTTGTTTTGTATCCTGGCAAATACTCCTGCAGGCCAGGAAGTATAATAGCAGAGAGTCTAACAAAGACAAACTAATGTATTGCATTACTGTTGTCACTGCCACTGATTTTCATAATGGCAAGTGACCTTGTGTATAAATATTGCCATATTATGGTACCTATACTGGTGACATGTTTCTATGAAAAAATGTATTATCCTTCGAGACTAAAAATCTGTAAAATGTTACTTTTTTCTGCTGGTGAATTTATTCATTTCCTATAAACATATTAAAATCAATGATGCTTTGAAGTCTTATTTTCAGCTTTGATTTAGAAATTTTTTTAGATAAATAAGAAATATCAATGTAAGTCTTGTAAGTTTGGTTTATTGAAACTAGTATGAATAACATACTTAATGCTAGCAGTCTGCAAAGCCAGCCTAATTATTTATTTAGCTTGTATTTTACACTTTCAATTGCATGTCCAAAAGAACCTTTTAGTTATTTAGCTATTTTTATGTGGAACACAAAATACTCATTTAGAAACACTATAGTAAGAGAAAAGTTGAATAAAATGGGAGATGAAGTTACAAAGAAGAAAAAATCTGAAATATATGAAATGACTGTAATTATAAAACATTGGCAGGACAATAAATACTTCAAGTGTTTTGAGAAAGTAAGTGAGTGGGTGTTTGGGAGCAAAAAAGGGGTGACAAATTATATTCAAAGATCAGGGAGAGCAAAAGAGTTGGATAATGCAAAAGGAAAGAGAAAAGGGGGTCTCAAATAGCTTTGGGAAGCAAATTATGAATAAACCAAAATTCCATGATTGTTTATCAAGAAGTAGGCAGTCGATAACATAGTGATAATCAAAAATTAATGATACATGAATTAAAAATTTCAAATCTTAAAGCAGATTTTGTAGGAACATTTTTTTCTAAAACATACTTTCATATGTTCATCTTGGGGAATTATATCACAAGCATAATTAACAAAGAAATAAGTATGTAAAGATAAAGTTTAGGATCTAATAATAAAAGACTTAATGACTTTATTAAATACTGTATGTGACTCTCCCCATATTTTTTTCATTCTTCATGCCTCCTAATATTAAATTATCAGCTCTGTTAGTTATAGTTTCATAAATGTCCTTGCACTACACCAATACATTTTTGGAAACCAACTTTTCAATAATTGCTAAAAAGCTGTCAGTTACAGTCATGGTTATGCTTACACATGAAGAATGGGTGGCCTACCAAACACCTGACATGTATTGGGCAGCGGCTGTATTTTAGAAACATCTCCATACATTTCATGTTATTTGATTCTCCTAACCTGAGAGACACAGTTATTTCCCATTCTTACTAAACACAGATTCTCAAAGGTTATGCAACATTATCTGTGGCCTCGAGCTTGCAAAATGTACTTCACATCCCCAGTTCTCTAAACGCAAAGCATTTCCCCTAGATCCCTGCTACATACTTCTCTGGGGACTATGAGTAACTGTACTAGTTCCTGCCACACCAGGTTTAGAAATATTCTTAGAGAAGATTTTATAAGCCTTGAATATGTCATAAATTTGCTAGGTGGAGGAAGAATCTGTAAGAAGACAATAGAGATTAAGCTTTCCACAGAAAAGGATAAGAAGGAACATTGCGTCAGGGAACACAAGAAAAGATGAGGCTCGTGTTCCAGAGCTTTCAAATTAGTAGACTACTTTTTCAAGGAATTAGACTGAACTACCTCCTCTGTCCCAAGGCAAGCCCCACTTGCATCAAATAGTATATCTCTCCTGCCTGTAAAGCCAGTTCAAGATCTCCAAGCTGCCGACGCTGCCATGACTGCATATGTTGCCTCAGTCTTCTGCCACCCACGGCCTGCTGGTATAGCTGTCTGGACCTAAAAAATACCTTCTGCCTTCAAGTGGCTCTTGTCAGCCAGCCCATCTTCAGCTTTAAGTGGAAAGACTCCAGTTATGCACTCAAAAGCTCACTGATGTGGACTCAACCTCCCAGAGGTTCAAATACTCGTTTCCCCTTTGAAAAAGTACTTCTGATTAATGACATGCAAGCTGCCTGCTGGAAAGACACAAAAGCTCTGCTGCAGTAACTGGCACAAACTGGTCACAAGAAAAAAACTCCACAACTTCCTTGGAGCTGCTGGCTTCTATAAAATCTGGATTCTTGAGTTCACAAAAACAATGCCTACTCAGACTGGCAGCCCCTGGGAGCACCCAGTGGTCTCTCAGGGCTGTCTCCCCGCTCTGCCTCCATGCTTGAAAGGGTCCTGTCCTGATCAAGAATGTCAGCAAGCTCACTTTAGACTGGGAACTCGCTGTCCAGGTACCACATGCTGTACTGGGATGAACTGTTCTAAAACCGACCCCCTGACACATATCGAATACACCTTGTGTACAGGTGGAAGTGTCTTTGTTAGGAATGAAGTCTGACAACCTAGATTTGCTGTGGTCACCTTTGACAAAACTATTTTGGCCAAAACTCTCTTGCAGGGAGGATCTGCACAGCAAACTTCTGTTTGGAAACCTGCCACCAAAGGTGCAAAATAATCTGGTCCAGAGCCTAAGCCCCCTCAGGGGATGCAATTGACTGAACCCCAGCCAGAAAAACTTTACCCAGAATTCCAGGAAGATCAGAGCTAGACCTGCCCCCACCATTTGTTCTGCAAGGTCCAGCCAGAGAGCTGACACCCATACTCCTACAGCCAGCTCAGGCTTTAGTGTCTGCATCAGTGTCGCTGACTACAGGCATTATAGTGGACTCTCCCTATTTAAAGATATATAGATAGATTACCCAGAAATAAAACACAATCCTACAGAAACAGCTTATGATCAGTTAAAAGACCAGCTCTGTCTGTAGACATTTTTGCACACACATATAAATCACGTACATATTAACTACCGCTACAAGTTTCAGAAATCCAACCTTAGATCTGCTGGAAAATTTACCTGGACAGCTCCTTCAAGACTCACTCTGAAAAAAATAACACTACCAGTCCCCGCACGGCTGAACCCAGAGGACATTGTTCACAGGATTGCTCCATACCTATTCCCCTTGATTTTTGTGTCTTTTCAGGCTGCTTGCTCCAGTACTTGCTTCCCTGCCCCCGCCCCCAGAGCTGTGGCTTTTGTTAGTTGACCTGGATTCTGCTTACCCCACTCCTTGCTTCCCCGCCCCTTGCTAGCTGTTTTGTGCCTTAAAATGTATGGACGATTGCCCCAAGAGAATAGAACAATCAGTCAAACACTTGGCCAAGATTTGTTGAGCATCCAAGGCACACTGGACACTCCTAGATGAGATTAACTCCCTCACTACCTTGCCAGAGTAACGTTACACAACAGACAGGCCTAAATTATGCCTCTTCCTAAAAAGCAATTTAGAGAAAAACTCTACAGTAAGACAATCATGGGACCTTCCTAAAGCCCACCCTAGGGTCACTGACAACTCTGATGTTACTCCTTCTAGCTGGCACTTAGCTCAAAAGATCACACAAATATGCCCAGCAAAGATTTGCTGGGGAAACTAAAGGAAGGGGGAAATGTAACCGAAAATGGCCCCCAGTCACTATAGTTCAGTTTCATAGTTGCCCAGGTAATAGTTGCTGCTCCAGTTCCAGTTGCTTCTGTCTCTTAGAAATGGCGGGTCGGTGTGAGGCATAGCCGGTCACCACGATGCACACTGTATAAACCAATCCCCACCTGACAGGCCATTCTGCCTCTGCACTTCCTACTTTCATATCCAGTGTAAGCCCAAGACCACCAGAGACCAGGGCCTGATATTCTGGGAATGACCCCAATCAGCACCCATTGACATAAATAAATCTGCTTCCAAGTCCTGAGCGTTGCTTTGGTTGGTGTTTCTGCTTGCTGTTGCAAATATACATCAAATTTCTTATCTGTTTACATTCCAACAGACATTAAAATTGTTGTGTTTTAGAGCATATGAATAAACATGCTGTGAACATTTATGTACAAGTTTTTGGGTGAAAACATATCTTCAATTCTTCTGGGTAGACTTTCTGGGTCATATGTAAATATGTGATTAACTTTATCTTTTTATTATCATTAAGTTTATTGGTACAGTTTAGATGTACATAATGATCATATCCATCCTAGGGAATTTGTTCCTGTATATGGTATATCTTA